CTCTCCTACAAAGTCTTTCTCTGAATATAGAGCTACCTCGTTAAGATTTGCTAGTAGAATGATTACCAATTCCTTTTATTTAAAAATCTTATTTTTTGTTTGAAACAGAAGCATAATGCAAATCTGAAAGCATTAAAGCCAGTCAAACTAGATACTGAGGTAAGATGCCATCATTTTAGTAAAAAAAACTTTCATATTTTTATCTTGTCCTAAGAATGTGCTTTTAAGTGCCATAAATATGGTCACCATTTACAGGAACAGGCGAAAATTGCAAAACTTGGATTAGAATTGCATCTGCTAACATCTGATGTGGATTCTGAGACAGAGAAATGGGAGGATCAAGAGAATGAGATTGTGCAACATGGGCAAGGCATGTCAAGTATGGCCTACTCCATGTATTTATTTACCAGGTAATTACACTGCATGTGGCAATTTTTGGTGGGAAGAATAGCATTAATAGTGTTTATAAGAAAGAACAAATTTTCATTTTCAGAGCATAATAATTGGGACCCATTTAGAAAGGAACTTGGATCTGTCCATAGGCTTTATAAATTTTAAAATTAATTCTAAGCTTTATAATTAAAAATATTAAATAAAATTAATTATAAGCTTTATAATTTTTTTAAATTTCTAAGCTGTTTAAAAACCCTGTGATTTTAAACACCCATTTTATTTTTAAAGGGCTAAACACCTGTTTTGTTGGAGGGCATCTATTTAAATGTCTCTAGAGTACAGAAAAAAATTTAAGAACTATTTCCATAAATACTTTGAAAATTAAGGGAATTAAAGCACAAGTATATACTTGTAGATGAGCTATAAGTGTAGATGAGAATTACTGATCCTTGCTGTACTGAAAAGTATTTATCTGAAACTTGCCTTTGCAACATCAGCTTTCTTACTTGAAGAATTTAGGTTTTCTTGGGTTTTTTTTTTACCAGAGTTGAGATTTTTTTTGTTACCTACTAGTCCAATAATACTCAGTATGCTAGAGACATGGATTTCTAGTTTTGTTCAGCTTATGAGAACTGAGCCATTGTTAATTCCCCAACAGTGCTGTAGCTACTGAGGTGTTTGTGTAATATTATTAAAGCAGTTCCTGTAGGTAGTTATTGTTGTGTCTAGTATCTTCTAAAAGACTGATATTTACAGTTCACTGGTGTGAACTGTAAAATGTTCAGTGGTGAGACTGTAATTTTTGTAAGTAGCAATCAAAATAATCTGCAGTCTATAAATGACATATCTTCTGGTTTTGTTATTTCCCACAGAGGAGAAGGACTTCTGAAAACTACTCAAGATTTATTTCATCAGGCAGAGGTAGTGTATTTTTAACAAAATAAGACATAGACACTCTGAGTGAAGCCAAACAGGAACTTCAGTGTCTGATTCCTTACACATAAGTACAGTGTACAGTACATGAATTGACTGGCAGCCATAGATTTTGAGCAGTCTAACTCTGGTACATATCCTGAAAGTGAGCTTCCCAGTGTTCCAGTTGTAGCTTCAGACAGGATCATTACACTGGTAGATTCCAGCTAGGAGGACGGATAGCAAACTGGCATTATGGCAAATACAGTGCACTTCAACATATTTGTAGTTTTTGTTGTGTGACTCAGCTCAGTCCCTGGTAGTGTTAACAAATACTAAATCCTAGCCTGAGCAGCAGGATTTTCATGGGAAGGAGAGAAGATGTGAAACTTTGCACAATGCAAACAGAAGACAAGGGCCCAAATGAAGGGATGTGGGATGCTATTTCCAGGATGCATGCCTGTGTGTAACAGGAGACTAGTTACCTTTGAAAGGACAATAAACAAACAAGGGCAGGTGTCATCTACCCCCAAAACATTTGCGAGCTGCCACGGTGCAAAAAATAATTGGAAGTTGGGGGGCTTGTTATATGTAAAGGGAAAGCCTTTTGTCATCTTTAAACTCTGCTTATCTGTGAGGATGGCAGTTTGTAGCATAGCTTGTTATTTCAGAAGTCACTGCAAACTGCTGACTTGTAAATTACAGACGTATACCATTATAACAAGTATTTCCTGCTACCTTTCTACTTAAAAGCACACTATTAAAAGAGGAGGGAAAAAGCCTTACTTTCTGTTGTGGTTTATTTTGTTACATGCTTTTTCTTCCTTTCAGATTTTTGCTACAGAGGGCACAAAGCTTGCTTCAGCTCTTCATGCTCTTTCTGAACAGGTAATGTATCTTAAGACTTAATGTTGGAGTCTTTAACACAGAGTTGTTTTGTCTTCCTGGACCATGTACCAGGTACATCATGATGAGAAGCCTTTGCTTCTGTTGGAGGCTGAAAAACTCATCTCTATGTGCAAGCAGCTCCAGATAGCAGCTAAAGCTTCTGCTCAGGGTAAAAGTGCTACATTTACAAAGGTAAGGGAAGAATTATATATATGTCTCAAAGTAACACCTACCTTGTTTCAAAATAAAGTAATTTACTAATTTATGCTCCAGTCAAAATATGGAACTAGTTTGTAGTGGTACTGTAATCCAATAGAACTCCATTAAGATAAACAGGAACTGTAATTAAGTGTACCTCAGTATGGACTTCAGGGATCAAAATTTTAATGAAGAGGTAATATGTATTTCCACCACGGTAATAATCACTGTTATTACTGTTACTGATGCTTAACATAAATGTAACAAACTCCAAACCCCCAGCTCCACTACTGAAACACATTTGCTTCTCAGTAGGTAGCGTCTACCCTGGACTGCAGAGATTTTTTCTGATATTCATATTTGCTATAAATAGCTACATAGCTGCCATGAAAGTTCCATCACTGTTAACGCAAGAAGTAGATCTGCAAAGATCAGAGGGGATCAGTATCCCTGAGCCAGCAGAGATGAATGTGAGCAAGACCATTTCCATGCACCTGGATGTTTGTTTCCAATTGGCTGTGGAAAAAGTGTTTCAGTTCTACAGCGGGGTGTTAAACTTGCTAAAGCATGCAAGCCACTCAGAACCAAATGGAGCACCTTGAGGCTACTGCATGGTTTCTTTTACACTCTCTAAATTAAATGGGAACTCCAGTCTGTTTATACAGTGATGTATCAGTACACAGCAATAACAGGTTCTCAAATTAATGTTTGAAGGCTCAGGCTTGTGACCTGTGCTTGAGTGTTAAGATTTAAGATAACTTCTAGTGTAACATCAAACTAAGGTTTAGATGATGCATGACTTTCTAAATCATGCTGGCAAGACATAAAACAAAAGGAAAACCATGAAGAATTGTGATGATTCATACTTAAGACTGTAAGAGTGAAAGAGTGCCTTTCCAAGAGACTTCTGTTACTGTTTAATATATTATTACTAGTTCATTCTCTTGGGATGTGTCTGCATCATAGCTCAAGTCATGCTTAACAGAAGGGATGCTCTTGTTTTACATGTACCAGAGAGAAATTTTAAAAAATTTAGGCAAACCAATTTGATTAGGAGATATTTCAAAAGGACAAGTATTACTTAACCTAGCTCAAAACAGATCACCATCTCATGCCAAAACCAACTGCCTAACACAAGTATGGAGTATTAATTACTCTAGTATTAATTATCTTGTTTAGGTTGATGCATGCATTCTGAAAACAAGGAATGTGATGACTCTGTTATGTCAGCTTCTTCCACTTTGCTGCAAATTACTGAGAAAGGTGAGTGCTTGCTTAATCTGCACTATTTAAAAGTTTTGGGGTTTGTTTGGTGGGGTTGTCTCTTTGTTTTTAAGAAATCTTTGTTACATACATACACAGAGTAAAGCAGGAAATGATTGTCTTAAGCCTGCTCCACCATGGAAAGAAGACAGAATACAAACTGGTACAAATGCACGTACTCCAGAAAGAAGAGTGGACACATTTGGCATCAAGTCTTTAGAAAATCATGTAACAAACATGACGTTTTTAGAGAGCAAGTAATCTTAGCACTGAGAAATGCAGGAACTCCCATTTGAAAATGTAACACTTGCTGAAGTTTCAATACTGCTTTCATTTGTGGAAAGTCAAGCCAGGTTAATTTGATACAAAAATGTTGACCTTTGTCACATCTAATAGATGTCCCATTACTTAGCCATTAAAACACCAGCTAATCTAAATGTTCTGTATTTTTATAATGTGAATGCCTTTCCTATACTCACTATTGATACCGATTTTGTAATTAATGCTTATGAATGTCTTAATGGATGTGTCAACCCAAAGATGCTGCTAATAGACATTTTATGTAAAGATCCCCATGCTGCATACATTATATGTAACACTACTGTTGAAGTCTGTAAACTCATCTCTGGCCTATTTCAGTCTATGTATTTGATAAAGCAGAATCAGGAATATAGTCTGAAAGGCTGTGGCCTGAAGCACTGAAATGTTACCTTAGTTACAAGTTATACCTGCAATGAAGTAATCCTAGGGAAAAAAAAACCCTCTTTCAATAGCTGCATTTTAATCTTGACATGATTCATCTCTACAAAAAGTGTATTTCTAAGTGATTAATAGTCTTAACTCAAACGCTTTTTCTTTTGCCCTATTTGTAGATGGCAGTTGTTGCTTTCTTTTTTATTAAAACTTAGTGAGCAGAATCTGAATTGCCTGTAGAACCACTGAAGTATTATGCAGACTTGACATTATGCCATCTAAAATTGAAGAGAATAGATACTGATAATTACAAAATTCTGTACAAAGGGCATTATTTGACTTCAGGATACTACAAAAGTACAACTTGATGTGAAATATGTATTGTCAAGTTTATCTGCTCTTTGTACATAGGCTTTTGTTGCATTTTTATTTTCCATTCACCTATATTGTATTAGTTTAGCTAAATTACATGATAGCTAAATGCTATGATTTTTCTGTATGTACTATGCTTGAATTAAGCAGAAGCAAAGCTGATTGTGGAACATAAATTATCTCCAACATGTCATTCTGAACTTATTTAAAAACCTATAGTGCTAGAATTCAGAGATAAGAAATTTTATATCAAGTTTTTACAGAAATTTTAATATCCAAACTACTTGAACTGGTTTATTCTTTTATGAATCAAGGATTTAGTTCCACTTTTAAAATCTGGCACTGGGCCTTTCCAGTACTATAAAACTCACAGTGTACAATAAAAGTCACTTATTTAGTATCAAACACAGACGGGAAGTGTAGAATTGACTTCATGAAGCAGAACTACGGCGTTTCAACAGAACTTCCTCATACTCCTTCTGTGTCAGAAGTCCCTGAGTTATACTCTTGCTTTCTTCAAATTTGGGTAGAACCACTGCGATGTACCCCTCAGTTGATGGCTAGAAAGCGAGACTGAAGTTAGCAGTGAAATAAAAGCTGAAAAAATAAAGAACAAGAAAGTGTCTTACCTTTTCTTGCAGAAGAGCAGGATTACTAAGGATGTTCTCATTTACTTCAATCAACCGCCCTCGTATGCAACTGCAAAAGTGTTTAGATTCTGTAGATGTGTGTGGTATGTCAAGGTAAGAAAAAAATGGAAAAAACCTTACCTGTAAATGGTGTATTCCTCTCCATCTGATGAAGAAATCCTGCACAGAGGGGCAAGTTCTGTTAAAAACTGAGCTCCCTGCATTTGGAAAATAAATAAACATGTCTGTAGTTTTAATTACACAGGGCTTGTAAAAGTATTACCATCAGCAATGCCTAAAAGGAAGGATGTGTGACAATTACGGGTCATTCCAAGTTCCAGAGCTGTGCTTCCCTACAGAAGGGAAGATGCCAATTTAGTTATGTGCACAGATCAAATAGAAGCTTGTTACAAGCCTACAGATTTTGTCATAATTAAGTTTCTTGAGACTAACAAACTTGTATTTTAATAAGACCAAAGTCAGGAGAGAGGAGAGGAACAGCACCGTTGCTTTTGGTGTAAGCAAGTTAAACTGCATCATCAAAAAAACACCACACTGAATGAACTGGCCCATCTACTATCTCGATCTGCTTGAAAAAAAGAGTAGTCTCCAAATCCTTTACATCTTCTTAGAAATAAACTTATTATTTCAGGGATGTTTATGTCCCTCTGTACACTACCAAAAAAATTACTAGGAGTGAGTGCATTTGAGCAACACTGGAAACCACCACTGCTGTAGGAGCATTGCGAGACCCTGGCTGCAACAGGCAGAAAGGCACTGCTTGAGGAAGTCTGAATTCTTCAAGTGCAGAGGGGCTGGTTTTAAATTAAATACTAAAGCGACCTGCTGGGTTTCTATTCAAAAAAGGACAGAAAGATCTCAGGCAGTATGAGAGATTAAAATGAAAGCTAAGGAAATCAAAAAGCCATACCCTTTTTGACTTCCCGGAGACCTTATTCTGGAGTCTGCTACAGTTTGCACTGATTTGGTAATTAATGTTTTTAATTGTTTTCCCACTTTGAAGAAGAGGGTGGGCTTCTGCCAAGGTGATGACACAAATTCTGAAAAAAAAAAAGAATATAATTATTCTACTGTAGTTGTAAGAAGCCATACCTTTGTGCTCTGAACAAGTCCCACAACCTTTCTGACTATCTTACTTGACAGTTGCTGTACAAAACTGAATGAAAATGGCATTCTGACCTAAAACCACTCCCACAGAAAATGCTTCATTTTAAGATACCAGACTGGACTGTCAAAAGCCCTACACTTCTTACTGAAACAGAACCACTGCTTGTAAATAAGCCAGTGCTGTTCTAGCTGTTGTGCCCCATGACAGCATGACTGGTTCATTTCAGCCAGCAGCTGAAGCAGGTACTCACATTAAGGCAAACAAGTAAAGCATGATGTACTTTTGTCACAAAATGTAACACAAAGCAGTGTTTCTCAACAGCTAAAGGCCCTTTGTAGTGAACAGTTAGCTATAGCTGATGAATCCATCAGTGACCTGGGCCTTAGTTAACTTGCTGCTTGCATTTCATTGTTTTCTAAAGGAGGGTTATTTCTTACCATGACACTGGACAGTTTGAGACAAGCCCAGCTGAAGAGACTAGGCCTGCCTGGCCTAGAACCATGCTTAATGCACAAGCATGAATTTGACACTTAATGGAGAGTGAAAGCTATTCTGTTTGAGAGTGTAAAACCTACAGCAAGCACCAGAATCAACAGAAGGGTGCAGAGAAAACCAGGGCACAGAACCAGATTCCCTGTGGATGCTGTATCCATCTCCCCACTCTCCTCCTGGGGAGTTCTGGCTGCGTATCTCCCACAAGAGGGAGCTGGACTCTGGTGAATGCATCCAGCATGTCCTAGCAGCAAAGCTACCTCCCTTCACCCCAGCCTCCTTCTAAGGGGAAGATGACAAATTATCTTTGAGCTATCACCTCATGGAGCTGAGACCTGGCAAAACAAAAAAATCAAGAGACAACTTTACATTGCCTAAAAACAGTAAACTGAGCCACAGCCCCATATGTTACTTATATACATATATGTTATTAAAATGTTATTTTACCATAACATAATAATGGTAAAATACTTTGCAGAACATCTGGTTAAGCTGCTGTGAAATCCAAGGGTCCTGATATTTCAGAATTCAAAGTAGCATAGTTTTCATAGACAATTGAACAAATCAATAGGATTTAAACTATTGTTTTTATTAAGACACCTGAGATTAGTAACCTTTAGTATTCAGTACAAATGGAAGGGTGTCCTTCCCTGCTGTTACTGTCACACCTCTTACTTGAAGGTACTCTGGTTTCCCTTTTGAAAGAATTGAGGAAGAACTGCAGGAAATAGCCACAGGGAAGCTCCAGCTCCAAAGGCTGCAGCGAGGTGATGGTTCTGCCCTGTGCCAAGCATGCCCTTCCTTTTACTCTGAATTCCTAGAACAGGCAACTCACCAGAAACACAAATGCTGCCTCACCTTCCCTCAGCCCATGAGCCACTGGCCCTGCCAGTTTTTGTGTGGGCAGTAGTTAGATTCTGTTCTTCCCTCTGGAACTAAACAGAATGCTCCTGATGCCCTAACATCTGCAGCAGGGGGAGATTAGGTATGGGAAGGAGGCTCCATACCTTGAGACACATCAGGTACAGGTTGATCTACTCCAAATGATGATATCCAGCTACATCCAACCACAAGCAAGACACTTTCTTATCTTGCCTTCACCATCCGTTAGTGCACAAACGTACAAGGAAAAGCAATTAAATTTTATCTAGAGAAAGCTGAATGTTTGTTCAAACTGAAGGAGTTCTAAATCAAGTTAAGCAGACACTTTCAAAATGTCATTACGGAAAGGCCTTTTGGAACGTTGCTCTTGTGCTGCTGATGATCACAGAATCAATTAGCTTAGAAAATACCTCTGAGATCGAGTCCAGCCTGTGACCCAACACCACCGTGTCGCCTAGAGCATGGCACTGAGCTTTCCAGAGATATCCCTAGGGACAGTGTGTGTGGGGCCCTGTCAGCAGGAGAGGGTGCAAGGCAGCGAGGGCAGCACCACGGACACTGCTGAGCAGTACGAGGGCAGTGAGCGGGGGCCCTCAGGGGGGAGGAGGCCAAGCACCACTGTTTCTCATTGGAGCAGTAATTAAAGGATGGGAAGGCCGATTTGCCACTCTCCCGCCTTCCCGGACAAGGCAGGCTCGCCCGATGCTGTGTCCCAGGCCGCGCCTGTCCATGTTCCGGCTGCTGCAGCCACCGCCCGGGGCTGCGGCATCGCCGAACGCAGCCCGCGGCCTCCCGAGCGCGGAGCCCGGCGNGGCGGCCCCAGCCCGGCCCTCTCCCCGCCCCGGCACGGGAAACCCCGAGGAAACGTAGCGCTACCTTTGTTTTTTGTTTTGTTTTTTGTTTTGTTTTTTTTCCCCCGAATCTGCATCGCTGAGAAAAACGCTCAGACGTCTGCGGTTGGGTTCAGTGGTTTATTTTCTCTAGCACACAGCAATACAATAACAGCTACAGTGACCATATATACACACACCAAAAAAGTACCTTAAATTAAAAACAAAACAAAACAACGACAAAACAAACAACCCCACCCACATTCCATTAAATCATCTTTTAGTTTCCTGCTCGTGGAAAACAGAACGCCCCAGTTTTTCCACAGAGATTTTAATTGCACTGGTGTCTCACTTCAAGCAGCAGGAGAGCCTCTGTGAATTCCATTTCAGCCTTTGAATTCTGTTTCAGCCTGGGCTGTGTTTTATATAGACATAAAAGAGCTGCATTCCCACAACACACCTGGCATCACATTTAGGCACAGAGGATGCAGAGAAACCGTACCAGCACCTGATCCCCACGGGCCAGGCAGGGAAAAACTTGAGAACCTCCACACCTTTGCTCTGACTCCTGCTGCCCAAAGTAACATGACACATCTGATATACAAATACAGGCCAAAACCATTACAAGAATATGTTAAAGAAAAAAACACAAACCAAAATTGAATCCAGCTCTGTTTACCTGCATCTAGCACAGGCACTAAAGGCAGCTGTAACAGCATAACATTATACATAAATGACTGTACCATTATGAAGCTACAGACGAATACACAAAACAAACACATTTATTATCCAGAGTAGCCAGGCACATTAAAAACCGCTGCAGAAAAATATACCCATAAAAATAAAGGGCTACTTAGAGGCTCTGCCCCAGATTGCCAAACAATGAGTACTTCCAACATGAATACATTGCAACAGATGCAGACTCTATAAGGCTGACAGAGAAATGACAACAAAACAAACCAACTCAAAACAAACAACAACCAACCTTTTTTCATCCTGCTGATACAAAACTACAGCAAGTTTCAGTCTGTAGCCTTCTCAGTTATCAGTTTGGACAGCTGCCTATCATGGACATTTCTCCATCAGTGACTGAAGAGCACTGAACGGGTAGAACATGCTTGTGTACAGGATAGACATTTCTGCCCACATGCTCTAAAGGCAATTCATTTTTCTTATGATTAAATTAGCAATGTGTTTTGATATGTGGATATTTTAATGTCAGTCGAGTACATCAAAAGTCAGCCAAGAACCCACTGGAAACAATTAAATTTGTAGATTTATCTCCATAGTTAAGTCATTGATCTTAAAATCTCCTGAGCAACAGTAGGCTACCTGCCTGCTTCCTGTGTCAAATCCAGACAAGAGAAGTCCAGCTGAACTGGCAGCTATTATGGCTGTAGGCTAACAGAAACCAGCAGTGAAAAGTTCAAAACAAACTGAGCTCATCCAAGTCTGAAATGCCCCAGGACTACAGAGATGCCCCATTTCTGTAGCAGCCAGGATTGTGGTGCAGAAGGTGGAAGCCCCACGGGCTGAAGTACACTGCATTTATGGAGTTTTCCCACACCACAGGTAAACACTGTGCCCAAGCCCTAAAAAGCCTGCTAGGACAGAGGGATGCATTAGGAGAGCTGAAGCAAGTACACCTTTCTCAACCCCTGGCTTCAAAGGAGGCACAGAACAGGATTTCATCATTGTGAGCAGAAAAGTAAATAACAATCTTGCTAACCTGAGGAAAGGCTGAAGGAAGAGCAGCTAATAGTCCACTGGCTGCAAAAACTCCTGTGGAGTTTTTCCTAAAAAACCCTCAGACCTCTCAATGAATTGAAAACATTAATTTCTGCAGTAATAGAATGTTTCCTGGCTTCCATTGTGTGACAGACCAACAAACTGTTTTAACCTGCCATACACAGTATCATCAAAAATTGCTCTGGTTGTTCAAGCTTTTTATTCAGCTGATCATTTGAAGCAGTGGATTAGAAATAGGTTCTAATTGTGTTATTTCTGGGATCTTTAAAGCCAGCTAGTAAGATAGCGTAATTCTGTTATTTATTCATCATAAAACAACTTTGACATGTTCAGCTTTCCTACAAATGCAGAATTTCTTTTGCTATTGGTTTTTTCCAACCTTCTTCCTTCAGAGACATTCAGGGTGGTTAAACGTATTAAGACTGTAGGCTTAAACTACATACTTAAGTATACACTTATCATCCTTAACACAATGTTTCTCTAGATTATGGTACCAAAGAAATTTTGTTATTTTGGATTTCTCAGCTTTAGCTCTTGCAAAAAATATAGCATAGGTTTGTGTGCAATTACACTGAACTAGAAGTAGGCAGCTCTCCCACTCAGCTCATTTTCCCAAAGTAAATCAACACTTTACTTCAAGAAGCTGTTGTAGGAAATGACTGTTTATCTCAGCCTGTAGCACCCCTCCCCCTTGATATCAAACAGGCTTTAATACACCCTTGTCACTTCAGGCAGTGTAAGTGGGATACAACACTGCTTTTAAAGTCTTTTTGATGGAATTCACATATCTTAAAGCTTTGGCAATTTAAGAACTGGACTTTTGTTGCTGATTTGAGAAATCAGTGAAGAGCAACTCCTATCAGAAGGGATGAAACAAGTTAAACATTTGATGTAAACACTTAGAACACGGTTTTATATTCATTTGTTTGGGGTAGAAACCAACTGGAAAAATACACAGGAATCCACAAGCTACTGAGAGAATCAGCACCACCACAAAGGATGGAATGGACTTACCTGCCTTTCTGAATAAACCAGGTGGATGCAGAAGAAATGAGTTTTTACCAAAAAACACATGCTAACCATTATGTCTTGTTTTTGTTTTGCTTTGCTCACTGTGCTTTGTATCCACTGATTCTAACTGCTAAAAAAAACCCCACTGTTGTTTTTATCTCTTTAAACCAACAAAACCACAGAAGTAAAAAACATTACATATAATTACATACAGTAAATAAATTCAGTAAAAAAACAACCTAACCCCCCCAAATGGTACAGACAATACAAATAATATAGATTTGGCCATGTTTTACTAAGTACCACTTTCCACAGTACCATAAGCAATGCTAAATCCCAAGTAAAAAAAACCACAATTAAAAACAAACAAACAAAACCCCAACAAACCCCAAACTTTACAGTGTCCCTTTCAATCAGGCAAGAAGGGAGGGAAGTACACAACAACAAAGCACACCAATAAAAATATCTAGTCTATATCAAATGTACCTTCCCAATAAGAAAATTCGTAGAAGAAAACCCCTACCACTTATAATTTAACACCAAGGTGTCTTCCTGGCAACCAGAATTACAAGTTTATGCTGAATACAATCTTATGTTCAAATACTGAGATAAGCAGCATTATCCCAAAACCCAGGAGAATCCCAGCATTCTGTAACAGGAAGTATCCCCACCGGCTACATCCATGGTCACTGGCATCATTGTGGAGCATTTCAGGTACCTAAACAAACGAGATAGTGTTAAATGCCTTCAAAAGAAACAATTGCTTCAAATCATTAATTCTTAGGCTGTGTTATACAAAATTCAAACAGATCTAGGCACTTACCATATCCACAAGAGCCACATACATGAACAAGCCAGCAGTAAGTGCAAATATCCACATTGAAACATTGTCTGCATAATGACCAATAAGGATGCCAGTTGCCATACCAAGATAGGCCAGCATCGCTGACAGAGCGTTATAAAGCACAGCTTGCTTGACAGTCATACCAGCTTTTAGAAGGACAGCAAAATCTCCTGTAACAGGGGGAAAAATACAAGATGAAGTTTTCATTCTTGCGCAAGTACTGCAGTGTTGTCTTTATTTACAGTTCCCTTACTTACAGGATTACTAAGCTACTTTTGTGCTGTTGTTTGCCTTATTTTTTTTTTCATTCATAAAATAAGAAATCACTGAGGGACAGAAAATTAGAGGGTACACATGAACAGCACCACAGCAGCAAATACCGTAAGTTTAAAACTTCGAAGTCTCTGCATTTTTGAAAAACGCAGCTTTTTGCTGAATCACAGAACATCCTGACTTGGAAAGGACCCACAAGGATCATCAAATCTAACCCCTGGCCCTGCACAGGACCATCCCCAAGAGTCACACCATCTGCCTGAGAGCATTGTCCAAACACTCCTTGAATGCTCAGCCTTGGTGCTGTGACCACTTCCCTGGGGAGCCTGTTCCAGGGCCCAAATACCCTCTGGGTGAAGGACCTTTTCCTGATATCCTGCCTAAACCTCCCCTGACACAGCTTCAGGCCATTCCCTTGGGTCCTGTCACAGGGCAGAAGAGATCAGTGCCTGCCCCTCCTCTTCCCCTCATGAGAAAGCTGCAGACTGCAATGAGGTCTCCCCTCAGTCTCCTCCAGGCTGAACAGACCAAGTGACCTCAGCCACTCCTCACACAGCTTCCCCTCGAGGCCCTTCACCATCTTCGTACCCCTCTTTTGGATGGTCTCTAATAGCTTCATATCCTCAAGCAGTTTGAATTTACATTACCACTGTAAAATGCTGCAGTACCTGATATGCTTGAGTGTTCCTAAAAATATTCCAACTCAATTGCATATTGCAGTTTATTATCCTGTAAATGCTCTCTGTATTTTTAATCTGTTTTATAAATTTAATATAATTTCTTTATTAATTTCTGTAACTGATTTTTGATACCTTATTTTTATTTGAAGGAATGATAAGACCACCAGCCAGAAACAAATTTTCAGTAATTCAGAACATATTTTTTCTCAACAAGAGTAATATAAGCTTATTATTTGAAAATAAAATGGATTCTTTATAAGTTATCTCCAGTTAAAGTAAACAGAAGTGATTTTCAAAGCTGATTTGCATCATTTGTTACAACAGCTTTTCCTACAAGCTATTGCAGTTAAGATGAACTGGTATATTAAAAACATTGCTTAGCATTAACAAAAATGATACAATTTTATTCCCAGCTAACCTCAACTTTTGTTTCAATTTTCCTAGGCCACTTCATCTCCTCTGGTAAAGAAGGTATTTCTATCAAGTTTTCTGTTCTGATAAAAGAAGTATGATTTAAATTTTAAAAGCTTTTTTTTTATTTCTAAAAGCAACAGAACAGTTGAATCTAAAATTATCAGGTTCATAAGATGAATTTACATCTTATATCTGAACTAAAAATATTTACTATGCATAATTAATACAAGTTCCATGATTAGTATGGAAGACTTAATTCCTCCCAACCCATAAAATCAGGTATGTTTTCTCCACAATAACACATTTCTGTGTAGCATTACTGTACAAATAAATCAAGCTGTTACACAGAGTTTAATGTTTACATGTACTGGTTTACAAGCTCCATTAAACTAAACTGAATGCTCTCCCCTCTGGGGAATGAAACCTTTAAAAAAGGGAAAGCAAACTCTTGTTTCTTCATTCTATACACCAAGTATGACTGTGACCATGACAGCTAAAAAATAAACACCAGTTGCATATCTGAAATAATTTGACAACTGGGAAGATCAGCTTTGTCTCGAGTTCATCTAAGCACATCCATCTTCTTCTCACCAGCTGCCCTTCAAAAGGGCCAAATACTGAACTCATCTTCGAAGACACAACAATAATCTCTCATGGGGCTGCACACAAATTTAAATCACTTGAGCTTGAAAGACAAACTGTTTCTAGAAAGATTTCTAAGTAGTTTCAAGTTTAATTTAGAGCTACAGCAGTTCTTTGCAAGACTTAATGAAAAAGCAGCAAATGTTATGCAAAAAGTACTTTGACTAATCATGACCTTCCTTTTAGCAGCACAATCACAGGAATAAAATTAAGGAGAGATGTGAGAAAAGCAAATTCTGTCATGCATTCTCCTGCAATTCAAATCTTATGTTATATACAAGGAGAATAAAAACTACAACTAAAGTAGACAGAAAAAGCTGTAACTGCAAGAGACAGCTTTAAACAGAGTAGCTGAAATAGTTAGTTTAAAATAATAGTTTAAAACTATTAATTGAATTAAGAAATGGTTAAACAGTCTAAGGAAATCAGAAGTATCCTTGAATAGACAACCTGACACAGATGAAGTTTTCTGATCAAATTTTGTTCTCCTACATGCACCTGTAAGTACAATAACCATGCAGCATATGGAAATGCTGGTGTCTTACCTAGCTCATGAGGTAATTCATGGCAAAATACAGCCACAGAAGTACTTAAACCACTAGACAACCCTTCAGTAAAGGCTGCTCCTATGAAGAGAGAGGGAAAAAAAAAAGCAAACAAAACATTCAGACATCAAGTGCAGAAGCATTGTTGCACATGCTTGTGTCATATTAGGACATATATTTCACTCGAATTTTTCTTAGTGGAAGCATTTAAACTTTAACAGATCAGTTGTTTATGATTCTTAAATTGCAAAATTCTTCTTCCAAATCTTGCTATTAAATCGAATTTCATGATCTTATTTCTGAACTAAGCCAAATTATTCCAACAACACAACCATTCCCAAAAAATGCAATAAAGGAAATTCCAAAAATACATTTTTTTAAAAAAATATACAAAGGGAACAAAGCAGCTCAAGTGCACCTGAGAGTCAGACAACTTAAGAAAGTCAAGACAAAAATAAGAGAGGCTATGAAATCAATGGTGACAGATCAACTTCTAAGCAGCTTGCTTTTAGGTAAATTCCACAGCAGCTTGCTTTTAAGTGGAGGAAAAAAGCCCCAAGACCACAAAAGCCATTTAAACTAGTCCAATAGTCCTCATCTTTCTCATCTTCTCCGCTCCTCCTGTTGCTTGCCGTTTTTCTTGTTTGGCAGCAGCTCAGAAGGACGCAGCACACTGCAGGGCTGCACCACAGCTCATACACGGCATGTCAGGTCCCCAGCTGCATGGAGAGCCTCTCCAAAGGTGCAGAGCCACATCCAGCTTCCTCTTCAGCTGCTACTAGGAGCCTGCCAGCAAACAAGATGCTGCCAACAAGCAGTCAAAGAGGCACAAAGCCATGTCACAGCAGCTGGCACACAAGGGACCCAGGAGTACTGCTCCCACAGTAGCAATGACTCCACTGGAGACAATGCCTTCTTTTCACTGGGGGAACTACATGCTGACCTAACTCGAAGGAGACATGGCTATCCAGGTCTTCAAGTGCAAGAAATTACTGATGCTCCTCCCTGAGTGATGACAACAGCAGCAACATTATGTCTGAGATGTGTGCTGTGGCATCCAGGCAAGAGGATGCAGGACGTGGTGAGAAGGCACCTTTGGATGAGTGGTAACAAACTGGATTGAGAGAGTCCTCAGAAGAGGTTCTACAGAGGCAAAAGCCCAAGCCCATGAGACTAAAGAGGAAGGCAAAACCAAAGAAGCACTGGACCAGGAAACATGAACTCCGAGATGAGTAACATTTGAAAACAGTCAAGTCTGGCAACAGGAAGAACCTGTCCCCACTGCAGCGACTGATCTGAAGAACATGGTCATGACCCTGGCAGCAGAGGATAAGTGAGTCCTGCCTTGCCCAGCAGTTCCATACATCAGATGAGAAGTACAAAAAGAAAGGAAAGATTTCTTTTAGTGATAGGAGATTCCCTCCTATGCAGGACAAAGACAGACCTGGTGACCTGTTGGCCAGGGAAGTCCATCGGTTGCCCAGAGCCAGCCTAAATGATCCTGTGGAGACACCTCCAAAGCTTGTCTGGCCTCTCATGGATAGATACCAACTGCTGACAGGGACAGAATACAATTCACTTTGGAGGTTTTTTTTGCTACCTCCATAAAGGGGTTCCTTGATCACAGAGAGCTCCAGTATAAAAGTACATGTGAACTGCAGTTCAGACTCTTGGTCAGCCAGAGTAACACTAGGAATAAGGTTACAGATCATCTAACCAAGGAAAGGTGGTGAGTAAGCCTAGCTATGAACACAGGACATCACCATTAGCACAGAGTCTCCAGCTGTGGGAGTAACAGTACTGGGCACACAAACCAGGATGTTCCTTACTTGTACTGGTAATGGCTTCCTGCTACAGATGACACAAAAGCCAGCCAGGATTAGCATTGTAAATTGACCGGCTGCTTAAAAACAATGAAAAACTGATGGCAAATACTGCAAGAAATGACATCTTGTGAGCCTGAGGTAACTGAGTTCAGGACACAGGAGAAGGCTGGAAGAGGAAGAAGCAAAACTAGGACTTCAGGCTTTACCGAAGCAGACTTTGACTTATTTAGGGAATTGCAGCACAGAATACCCTGGGAATCAGTCAAAAGGGAAAATGTGCCCAGAAGGGGTGGCCAGTTTGTAAAGCACAGAGATGCACAAACAAGCCTGTTTGTATGGGGACACTTGCAGAAGATGCGCCCAGCTAAGCAGTGTGTCCTAATAAATTAAGATTCAAAAAGGAAGCACACAAGAAATAGGAACAAAGACTGGCAACAAGGAAACTAAAAGCAGTGGAACAAAAGGGAAGAAGACCAAAGCCCAGCTTGATCCAAAACTAATGAGACTCCAAGGACAGACATAGCAGTAGACATGACAAGAGGCAAAGCACCAGCACAGCCTTCATCTCAGTCTTTGTCAACAAAGCCAGATCCCAACTTCATTCCGGAAAGAAAGAGACATCAAACCACAGAAGTAACAGTTCAGAGAAACGCAGAAAGAACTGGAAATGCTCAGGTGCATCCCAGGATGGGACTCACCTGAGGGTACTGGCAAACTTATTAGTGTGACTAAAAAGCTGCTGTCGATCATGTGTGGAAAACCATGGCTTATAGAAGGCTCCACCGGAACTCTGGGAAAAGGACAACATTATCCCCACCTTTAAGAAAGGCAAAGAACGGGACTCAGGAGCAGTCAGTGTCATCTCAGTTCCTGAAAAGATCATGTGAAGATCATCCTCCTAAAATCCCTGTCCGAAAGCTGCATCCAGCTTGAGGAGATAACAGACCATTATACGGTAAATATTCATAGACGGTGAATATAACAGGACTTTAGCAGGATTTCTGACACTGTCTCCTATAGCAGTCTTATCTGGGTAAAGAGGAAATATGGGCTTGCACACTGACTGGATTGCTGGGCTAATAGGGCCTGGTGGCTGGTAAGAAGTAGAGCTCACCAGGACAAAAACTGCAACCCGTTTTTTTCAGTATCTTCACCAATGATCTGGATAAAACAGATGGCACCAATAGCAAATTTAGGGGAAAGCGGGGAGAAAGTAAGGGCTGAGGTGATAAACCAAACACTAGAACTTTAGACAAGATCAGAGCAAACTTAATACTTATGAAGTTCAAAGAGGAAAAGTAAGAAGTAATCAAAGTACAAGCTTAAATATCAAGAATATCTCTTTTTATTTTTTCACTGCTAAAAAGAAGTCCTGAAATGTTAACAAACTGAAGATGAAATTAATATATCTGGCATTATCCCCTCTCAAGATGCTGATTTATCTTAAAATATATTTTTAAGGCACGACTTCTCTCAAAAGCTAAAGAAAAAAACATGTATGCAAGACTAGTGTAAAAATAGTGCTCTGCATTTTACTTATTTAGTTGTAATTACACATAAAAGTTCAAATCACAGATGATCCTTTTGCACAAATGAGTCAGATGCAACAGTTCCACATCTTAATAAAAAAATAAGCACTTTTAAATCTTGTTCCTACATAATTAGCACAACAGATTTGAGGAAAAAAGCAACTGATGGAACTTATGAATAAAAAATCACATGAAGTGAATGAACTTAAATGAAGGGTTATGCTGGCTAAAGCTGTCTTTACAGAAGTGTTCACCTCTTCTTTAAAATACAGATGAACTACTACGCAAGTAGCATTGGCATTTTTACAACACCATCAAATTGATGTTTTCCCATAATACTTTTAAGCACATACAGAACTGAAAGAAACCCATATTTCCATTAGCCTGAACAAGCTACACAGCAGGACTTCTGAAAGCTATTGCTCTCACTTGTTCAATAAGCCTTTATTAACCTTTCTCATACTTTTCCCTTCATAACTATAAAGTCATAGCTCCTTCCCAAATCTCCCTAATGCCAAGAGGTAATTGATTCTGTGTCATTTGTATGCAAATCTTCCTTCTACCACATTTTTCACTACTGATCTGCTCAAAAATTTACATTTCATGCTTCAACTTTCATCAAAAATGAGATTAAATCAGAAAGTCTCTTTTCACATTACACTTTGAATTGACTGAATCTGAACAACTGCAAATATTGCTGTGAGAAAATAGTTATTATTGGGTTTCCTCTTCAAACAAGAATGAATTTTTTCCTACAATAAAATTTACAGAAAGACTGATACTGCTGAACTGCCTCCAGTATGCTGAACAGCCTGGAAATGAATCCAATACCTGTAAAGATTAGTCTTAAATACAATAGTCAAGATCAGGAAAGATTAGCATAAGTACTGAAGATTATTGATTTGACTTCACTTTCTGTAAGTTACTTTAACCTTTTAAATTCAATATACCTGTAGTCTAGTTATCCTTCTAGGAGAAACATGAGAGCTCCCAAACCTGACCTCCCAGACAGAAGTCCAAAACAAAATATTCAGTCTACTGTTTTTGTGATAATGAAATATTTTCACTAAAGCATTGTCAAAAAAGACTGAGCAACTACATGCATTAAGGGAAGAATAGGGGCATGAAGTAAACAGGAACAGAAAGATAAACATTTTGTTTACAAGTAAAATTACTGTTTATACCTAATCAATTTTTTTTAAAAGGGACTATTATGCTTAACTTTAGGAACGAGAATTTGGGTGTAGTATAACCACTGTTTCAGAAAACAAAATTTTCAGGCTAAAACAGATTGAAACCAGGGCCTCATCTCCCTACCCAGCAGTCCTCTGGAGAAACACTGATGTGTAACCAGGACCCAGTATAGGCAGGCAGGCAGATATGCCAAGTATAGAACCTGACCTTCCTGCATCACAAGAGAAGATGAAAGAGAAAAAGAAGTAAAGAAGCCAATGTACCAGTGGTCTGAATGAAGTGAAAAAACAGTTACTTTGCATGTAATGAAAAACACAAGCTTGTCCTAAAAACAATTAAAATTTAAAAAATTGCTAAGCACTTGCAGGCACTGAATCTTAAATATTTTTTATAAGCCTAGCTTTAGTTTTGAAAAATGTTAGCTTTAATTCTTCAAAAGAAGGAAATGAAGCCCAGTTTATAGATTTTTTAATGAAACACAGCTGCAAACACATAATTTCTTTTTCATATATCACCTCCAGGTTGTTAAGCTGGAGATTTCTCTTACTCATTAAGATGAAGCTCTGAGAAAAAAGTTTAGTTCAGAGATCCTCTAATTAGCTACATCCCTAAAAGATGTAAGAGATAGCTAGAAGACTTCACTGCCTTTACATCCAAGGAAGCTGCAGCATCCAAGTTAGCACTTACCAATGGCCAGTCCATCACTAAAATTGTGCAGTCCATCTCCCATGATCACCATCCACGCCAGAGTTGCTATCCCTGCGTCCTTCAGTTCTTCGCGTGAGTAGCGCTGACTGTGACTGTGGGGGTGATGGTTCTGATGATGATGGTGGTGCAGAATGTGATGGTAATCATGGTGATGGTGACTTAGATGATCTGTCTGTCCCAGAGTATCGTGCAAGTGAGAATGGCATTTGTTTCTACAGCCCCTGGACACATATTCATTGTCAACCTCCTCTTGATGAGAATGAGCTATCATCACTTCTTCTTCCTCTTGTACAGTTGACAATCCAATTTCTTAAACCAGGAGATTTTTTTGAAATGCTTCCACAACTTATTCCGACTTCAGAGATAATTCCCAATAGCTCAAAATAAGGAAAACTTTTAGTTTCTGTCCCCTACTGCTGAAGCAGCCCTCACATTATGGCCACAAATACTTCTAAAAAATCTTTTCATGTAGGACTCACTGCAATTTAAACACAACAGCAAAAGGCTCTAAGTCCCAGTTTCACAGCATGAAGACTGTTAGTTCAATTGCTTTAGAAAAACCAAGTATCTGAAAAGCATGTGCCATTTAATTATCTCAGGGCTCAAGAAAAAGGATTATGTTATAGATAATTTTGGAAACTGTATTTCGTGTATTTCAAAACAAATATGGGCACTTGAGTTTAACACCTTGAAAATAAACACTAAAAAACAAAGTCATCAATACAGACCATGAAATACCCTCATATAAACATTGCTGACACACCACAGTTGGGTCTTTTAACTAATTTCTAAAACTTGATAAATTATTCCTCTGCAATTAAATTAATAAATACACCTTTTTTTTCTACATTACAGACAAGTATTTCATCAGTTATAAAATTACTCTGAAAATCTGAACATCTCTTTTAGCAACAAGAGCTGACAAGTAACTCATGGCCAAGTTAGCCAAAGTAACAAGTAAGCCAAAACTGGTGTGCTTTGGCTTAAAGCATGATCATGGGGAGACATGTTCATTTGCACTCTGAATGTTGAACTTCAAGTATTGTCTAGAATTTTGTAATATTACACTTACAAATAAATAATAAATCAAACTAACAAAACCCAGAAATCTAAATAATGAGTCGAGTCATACATATAACATCTAGCAGTGCAAAGAGAAGTGAAGAAGTCAGTAGCTGTATTGCAACATTCACAGAATGACTTCAACTCCAGAATTAATAGGCTTTAAGTTCCAAAACTGTGAATTCGCTACTTCTAACCCACGAATCCTTGTTAAAGGAAAGCAGCAGACAGACTTAGTGCTCTACATATCAGCAGACAGACGGGTTTTGATTTGAAAATAATTCAAATAGGCAGTGACCCAACCTACAGTAAGAAGCAGATCTACGAGCTGCCATCAGTCAGGTGTTTTGTAAACAGTGCTGCCATAGAGTAACAACAGTGTGATATTAATGCAACTTACGATCATCCGTATCCAACTTTTCTTCATTTGCTGAAAACTTCTTACTTTCTCCATCATCTTCATTTTTTTTCTTATTCCAAAAGAAAATACTGCAGTTATGAATATTTTACTTGTTTTTCAGGATATACATGAGCAACATTATATTCACAACATTTATGCAGCCTGCACAGGAAGAGGACAACACGGAAGCCGTATAAAGAGTGTAGAAAAGGAATTATTAGAAACTTACTAAAGTAAGATGACAAAGGTTCCTCACGCTCCATAAGAGGGGAATAAAAACAAAACAAACTAAAAAAAGACCACAAACAAACAGACCAACCCACACACATAAATGCCCTACATTTTTCACAGGAAATAAGCAGATTTTAATCTGAGAAGCGAAATATATCAAATGGTGAGTAATTTATTCCACTAATTCTTTTCTATCATAATGTCAATATAATGTTTTTTTAATAATGTACAGAAAGAAAACCAAATAAAATCTCTCCTTGCCCACTAAAGTATGTATCACAACAATTTGTGATTAGTGACTCGGTATCTTGGCAGGCATAATTAGTCTAACTGGAAAGCCATTCCTTGTGGCTGGGAGGAGACAAAATTCTTGCTGGACTTGAAACTCTTCATATTCTTTCCTGTCAAACAAATTTAACTAGATAGAGAAATCTCACAGTCAGCTTAGCTTCAGTATAAACCACACCGACACAACCTCCTACAATGAAAGGGTTTACATGGCATCTGCCCTGTGACTACTGCCTTAATGACCAATCTAATGAGAAAACTAAACAGAGATTATCAGTCTTTGAGGCAGCCTGGCAATTAGCTATTTTTAAACTAATTAAAAATAATTATTATTTACTAACTTTCTTCAAGTAAGGCTTAGCATTGGTTGCAACCAGATGACCTTAAAGATATCTTCCAACTCAAACCACTCTATGATTCTACGGTATCACCAACTTCTGCTTCATCTTTCTTACTGAGTCAACTTTGATATCATTCTTTATTCCTGGCTACACTGGACTTTAAAGAACTGTTACCAGCAACTGGCAAGTTACCAACACTAATGACCTGCCAAAATCCAGTTATTTACCTTACACATAAAAACCGGTATAACAATCTGAGAGCTGCATTTTTGTGGGAGAGAAGGGAAAGCACCAAGGGGATTGACAGACCATGTTACCTCACAGAATGCTATACCATAAAGTCACTTTCTACAGCATACTTGGATGCTTATTTATGTAAGCACTTACTGCCAACCCTTACCTGTCTGTGCAAGTGCCCTCCTCAACAGCAGTACAATAGTTGTACAATGCAAATTTATTGCATCCAGGATTGGAATAAAAATAATAATAAAACCAGTTCATATAGTTATAAATGTCTCAAGATGTGAGAAGTAAGTCAGTAATGATGTGACATCCTAAATCACTCCGTTAAAACTAAAGATGCAACTGGACATTTGCTTATTAAACAATTCTCTGCAATGTCAAAGCCTGTACTTTATTGTCTGGTTATGGAAAGAGCCTTTAATAAAAGGATAACACAAAAAGGTTTTAATGTACTTTAGAAGTGTATGTGTCCCTAACGAAAATGAAATTCTAACACTAATATAGTAAGCCATTGCTATAAAATCAAAATATATATGATATTCATGGGAAGTTTTTTTAATAAGTGTTTTCAGAAATGAGTATGCAATACAACAGAGCTACGAAGTAATAGTCTCCCTACCTTTTTCTTCTTGTCTTTAAATTGCTTTATTAAAGTGATCAAATGCTCTACTAGAAACATGAAGTACAAGCCTCCAAGTGCTGTAAGTCCTTTCCATGTAGAATCCAGGTAAGCACTCTCCTCTGTACTTTGAAAAACAAGATGTTTGTACATAGAGCCTTTTTGATCAAGCAGAGGCTTTTCATGGTGATGGTGATGGTTTCCATGAGACTAAGGAGAGGACAAAAAGGGGAAAGTCATTATATCCAAAAGAACAGTAGTGTAAGAAACATGTAAAGTGTATTCTTCACATCATTTTCCTCATGTCTGTAGTCCAGACTTAACTTCCACAGGGAAAATGCTCTGCTTATGTACTCAAACAATTACAAAAGAATCCATTGGCTGGAAATTTGCTGTTAGGAAGAAACACTGCAAGGACTGAGAACAGGTCTGGCACTGGCCCACACACTGAACCCGCATAGACACTGTTTAATCCAAGCTGTCCCCACACAAACTCCTGACATCATCAAGGGAAACCACATTTTAAGCAGTGGTTCCAGCCAGCACAGCAGTTAGCTTCCCATCTAAGAAAACTCATAGATGTCAAACAACTTTTTTCTACAAGGAAGTTGGCTGAAATTTTTTTCTTTAAAGAAAGTCTGGCTTTTCCTCTCCTTACTGGATACTGGTATGTTCAGAACTAAAAACCTTTTTGCACATCTCATTTACACATGTTCTGATTTACATAACCTCATACAGCAAATGCAAAATTAATTGAAAGGAAAAAGAACTACATGGTGGATTACAGAATCTACAGTCACTTTTATCCATTTTATTTGAAAGCTGGAACAAGTTACTTTTGGGAGAGGAGGTAGGGAAGAGCATTTAAGAACTTGTTTAAGAATTTCAAGAAAGGTAGAAATTTAGCAATCATATTCCCATTTCATTGTCCCTATTACATAACAGCAATTCCAAAATCTATCAAGTAGTATTTTCCCCAGGACTTCAAAAATTATGGATTCTGGTAAAAAAAAAAGTCACAATGGGTAAGCCATCAACATAAGTGGCTTGTAACAAAAAATAGTTGATTATTCATTTCACATTTAAAGTGTTCAGGGAGCAATTTCCACTATCTCTAAAGTCCATTAAACTGGGGGGGAAAAAAATGGGGGGGGGGGGG